GATAGTCGGACACGACAACCTGTGCAGCCCATGTATTGATTCCATCCGATAGCTGCTATAATACAAAACAACACGTCTGCCTCTCTCCACAATGATCAATAACAGTGAACGGATGGTCAAAGTAAGGTACAAATAAACAGAATCACACGAAGCCTGGTTAGTGTTGCCTGACTTTATAAAGTCTGTTTATAAGCACTACTGCTTGTAGGCAGACATGACAGTCGACCCATGTTCAGGGAGGTGGGTTTAGTTTCCTGCACGCCTCGACGTAAGAGAGACGTAAGCGACGTCACCTCTTAGCTCCGAAGCTCTTGCCTCTAGACCAGGGGTCTGCAACCTTTTTGACCAAAAGAGCCATTTTGCTCCTTTTTCCAAAACATGTTTTTGTCTGGAGCCGCAAAACATATTTCATAGTTTTTTATTGTTATATCATAGACAAAAACTACAGTTTTTTTGCCTTTATTAGGCTATTTATTACATGATATAAAACTGTTAACCTCTAATAAGAAACAAAGAACTCTTATAAGGAGAATTACAAATAATACACAGGCCTACTTTAAAATAAATTAAACACAGCACTTGGAGAGTCCTCTGCACATTTGAAGGGAAAAAAAATATTATTAAAATGGGCCCACTTTGAAATAAATAAAACATATAGCTGCACCCTAAAAAGAGTTAAAGGTGGGGTAGGTAAGAATGGAGAAACCAGCTCGAGTGTGCTAGAATTTGAAAATACACAACCGAAAAAAATCTGCCCCTTCCTTCAGACTTCCTTACAGAGCTCCTCCTCTATGGGCATAGATATGTCTCATAATTATTTGTGTGAACATAAAAATAATTCGTGTGTAAATATGTGATTTGTAAATGTAAAACAACATCCACAAACGCATTTAAAAGATTTGCAAACTCACAAATACATTTGCAAGTGTAAAACGGATCTGCAAATACGCTAAATATGTTCACAAATAAAAAAAAGATCTGTGAATATCTCTTTAACATTTACACCTTTCGATCAGGCATTTGTGAATCCATTTTGTATTTGTGGACCAGATTTGCGGATCTCAAATCTCTGTTCACGGATCTCAAATCTCTGTTCGTGGATCGTCTTTTTACACACACGGAATTTTGAGACATATTTTCCGCTAAAATCTACTCGTGTCACTCGGTTATTTTCGGAAACCACGTGATGGCCTGCTGATGGCGACATGTCCGCATGATTTCAAAGTAAGAGCATGATGGTTTGTTTAATGCTCTGTTTTTGTATTATAATGAACAGCGGAACGTTGGATGTATTCTTCATCACCATAACCCTGACCTAAATACGGTGCTTTTCTACAGATTACTTTATTACTGCACTGGTAAGGTACAATTAGGCCGATTAATAAGATGTGAAGTGCTTTGTAACTTCGACCCGCTTGACTGAATACACAACAAACAATGAAGAAAGAGTTTTATCTGGGCTGTTTCGCTGCCAGCTGCTCCCTCGGGACCCGAAAGTGGCGTAGGCTATAGCCTGCACTTCAACATCAACGAAAGTGCTCGATATATGCTATATTGAACCAATAACACAAACTAACTGTATCACTATAACATGATGATGATGGTGATGAATAATGCATCTAACGTTCCGCTGTTCATTATAATACAAAAACAGAGCATTAAACAAACCATCATGCTTACTTTGAAAACATGCGGAAATGTCGCCATCAGCAGGCCATCACGTGGTTTCCGAAAATAACCGAGTGACACGAGTAGATTTTAGCCGAGACCGGCGGAAAATATGTCTCAAAATTCCGTGTGTGTAAAAAGACGATCCGCGAACAGAGATTTGAGATCCGCAAGCGCATTTTTGGTCCACAAATACAAAATGGATTCACAAATGCCTGATCGAACGGTGTAAATGTTAAAGAGATATTCACAGATCTTTTTTTTATTTGTGAACATATTTAGCGTATTTGCAGATCCGTTTTACACTTGCAAATGTATTTGTGAGTTTGCAAATCTTTTAAATGCATTTGTGGATGGTGTTTTACATTTACAAATCACATATTTACACACAAATTATTTTTATGTTCACACAAATAATTATGAGACATATCTATGCCCATACTCCTCCAACACACACGAACGCGCACATGACCAATGAGGGCACGAGATAAATTTGTGCACAGATGGAAGGCTGACAGGCAGGTAGGCCATCCAGTTATTTTAGCCGGGCCGGTGTTCCGGATTAACTGGTTCCCCGATCAACTGGTTGACAGATGTGGAAGCGTGGCCTTCGACTGAAATACACATTTCGATCGCTTCTTCTGTCGTTTTCATAAATCTTTTGGTATATTTGGCTGGATAGGAACACTTTGATGCACATTCAGTACCAGTGTGTGAGGTTGTGGTTACGATGGCGATATCCGGACGCGAACAGCGAGGACTACAAAAATAAAAACGAGTTGACATGGGGATGTCTGTTCAAAACATTGCGAGCTCCAATAAATAATTTAAACCAGCTATTGTTGCCAGACTAATTACTGAATATCGTTCTTAATGTGATACCAAATCCATCTGAGACCTGTGTACACCTTCAGACAGCCTCCAAGTGAAGCACACGTTGTTTACTCACAGTTTGAAAGCAGCGTGGAGAAGTCTTCAGCTGTGTTAAGTTGTGATCCGCTCGAATACATCCTTAAAACCAGCTATTGTTGCTCGACTTATCACTGAATATCGTTCCTAATGTGATACCAAGTCCATCTGAAACATGTGTACACCTTCAGACAGCCTCCCAGTGAAGCGTACGTTGTTTACTCAGAGTTTGAAAGCAGCGTGGAGAAGTTTTCAGCTGTGTTAAACTGTGATCCTCTCAGGTAAACTGTGATTCGCTCAGGGTCAACAGGGATCCACCCATGGGAAAATGGGATCCGCCCAGGTTAAACTGTGTTACGACTTCTGTGGCTATCTACCAGCGATCATGTTTAATATGAAAGACACACACATATACATCCCTTATAAAAACGGCATTCTGCAGCACTCATCCAGATAACATGCTCGTTTTGCAAAGATAGCAGCAGAAATGTCATTGCTGCATGTGCAGGGATATTAGACTTTAAAATGCTGATGGGTCATTAATGTTGGTCTCGGCAAACAATATTAGGAATCCTTTATTCAAACTACATAATATTCATTGTCCATCGACATGAAAATAACAAAAAAGTTCATGCTGGACTCAAACCCGAGTCCCAACAGCAAAAGTCACTCCAGCCCTGCGCGTTATGAGTGCGCCACGGATCAACACGACGTGTCGAACCACCACACTATAATATTTTAGATTAACCTTGTTAAAAAGTTCCAGAAAAATGCAACCCGACCATCATTTATAATGTGAGCGAATGTATGTACACTTTAAGCCATATAATATACATATTAATATATAGTATTCTGACTGAGGTCTGTATCAAGCCTCATTAAGACCCACCGAGATCAGATATCCTAGTTTATCAGCCTGCGAGCCCACATTATGTTGTGATAAGTGTTAGTTTTACCGTGGTATCGTGTTGATTCGTGGCACACTCATAATGCGCAGGGCTGGAGTGACTTTTGCTGTTGGGACTCGGGTTTGAGTCCAGCATGAACTTTTTTGTTATTTTCATGTCGATGGACAATGAATATTATGTAGTTTGAATAAAGGATTCCTAATATTGTTTGCCGAGACTAACATTAATGACCCATCAGCATTTTAAAGTCTAATATCCCTGCACATGCAGCAATGACATTTCTGCTGCTATCTTTGCAAAACGAGTTAACAGCATGTTATCTGGATGAGTGCTGCAGAATGCCGTTTTTATAAGGGATGTATATGTGTGTGTCTTTCATATTAAACATGATCGCTGGTAGATAGCCACAGAAGTCGTAACACAGTTTAACCTGGGCGGATCCCATTTTCCCATGGGTGGATCCCTGTTGACCCTGAGCGAATCACAGTTTACCTGAGAGGATCACAGTTTAACACAGCTGAAAACTTCTCCACGCTGCTTTCAAACTGTGAGTAAACAACGTACGCTTCACTGGGAGGCTGTCTGAAGGTGTACACATGTTTCAGATGGACTTGGTATCACATTAGGAACGATATTCAGTGATAAGTCGGGCAACAATAACTGGTTTTAAGGATGTATTCGAGCGGATCACAACTTAACACAGCTGAAGACTTCTCCACGCTGCTTTCAAACTGTGAGTAAACAACGTGTGCTTCACTTGGAGGCTGTCTGAAGGTGTACACAGGTCTCAGATGGACTTGGTATCACATTAAGAACGATATTCAGTAATTAGTCTGGCAACAATAGCTGGTTTAAATGATTTATTGGAGCTCGCAATGTTTTGAACAGACATCCCCATATCAACTCGTTTTTATTTTTGTAGTCCTTGCTGTTCGCGTCCGGATATCGCCATCGTAACCACAACCTCACACACTGGTACTGAATGTGCATCAAAGTGTTCCTATCCAGCCAAATATACCAAAAGATTTATGTAAACGACAGAAGAAGCGATCGAAATGTGTATTTCAGTCGAAGGCCACGCCTCCACATCTGTCAACCAGTTGATCGGGGAACCAGTTAATCCGGAACACCGGCTCAGATGATTGGTCGTGCTTTTTACAGCGCTGCGGCTTCCACAGATTAATTTTTGTATGTATTTATTGTCAAAGCACTTCAGATATTCATTGCTATCGGGATGTTAAGAGCATTCCATGGAATATAACAAAAAGTGTTTTCTGAAATACATGACATACCCCATTGAATTATGACTGAAGATCGTCAGCTGTCTTCCTCTCCCGTGTTGTTCCTCGATACGTAAAGGCTGCACCACCGTTGACAACTTCTCTCTACATATCAAACATATGGTAAGCCAGAATCGTTTGCTGTGAAAGCATATAACTCTGTCCACACAGAATTAAATCCTGTGTTCCTCCGGTACTTTTCTTTGATGTATTCATAGTTCGCTCATCGAGCGAGAAGGGTCTAGCTGCGGCCGCGGCCAGTACACGATGGTACACGACACGCCCACCTGGTACGACACTACGGTGGCTGAGAAGGGTCTAGCTGCGGCCGCGAAAAGTTGTACTTTCAAATATGGTCAGAAGAGAGCACGCCCAACACGTGAGGTTTACAGACAACAAACAACATGGCGCATCGAGTACAGGTACTTAACGTATTGTGGTTTTAGATATAATTACATACTATTTAGGTTCTCGTTTGTTTGTCGATGTGGCTGTTTAGCGCAGTGTAATTGTGTTTATTTTGCTATATATATATATATATATATATATATCTTAGCTTGACATGCTCGACGTTCAGTTAACTTAGCATATATGCTAACTGAACATGCATGTACTCTAATTTTTACAAGAATCTGATTTTATGTAAGTTTTAAATATTAATTGAAGGTGTCTTTCACATTTGAATGTTTTTTATTTAAAACATGTATTAGCTCTTATACTGTAGACATGTAAATATGTATAATTATTATTTTAAGTGTGGTTTAAAGTTAAATGGTAGTTATTGGGTAGAGCCAAGTAACCCAGGTGGATGCAATCAGGTAATTAGGACAGAGCCTCTGTTTTTAGATGGGGTTTATGCTGTAGGCCTGACATTTAAACTAGCTGAAGGGCTTTCTGTTCGAACCACAGTGAAATCTAGAGGTTGTTTTGTGCATTAAAGGGTTACCTTCTGAAAGTGAGGAAGTATGACCAGCTTTGTCCCATAGGATTATACAGGTCAGTCCATTGCTGCTTGTTTAAGGAGTTAACTATTTCCAATATTAAAGTCACTTAAATTGTATTCTATTTTATTCACCTATAGACAAACAACACAACACTCCGTGATGGAGCACGCCCAGAGCTCAACAAATTGGACTCGGACACCTTCCAGTGTCCATTTTGTGAAAGGACCGGGTCACACCCAGCCGTCACATGTACATTATGTCTTGCATGTGCTAATAAAATTCTCATTACAGTATGCCTGGTATTTTGCCATGGAGGCCAGCTTTGACTTCAGCATTGTAAGTATTAAGGAAAGAAGTCACATTAAAATTCTATAACAAACTTAATGAAAATTGATGCTCTTTCTTTAGCATGACATGTCTCTCCTGAGAAGGTGGTGGTGTGTTATCCTGGTGGAAAACTTTGGACTGGAAGGGTATGCTGCAGTGCTACAAAAACATTTGAATTTGTAATTGTATTATCAAGAAGATTTGGGGGGGAACACCTGGCTCTAAAATTCAACCTTCTGGTGAAGAAAATGTGTCTTAATTGCAGGTATGGAAAGAGGTTTGCTCACTATAGTGAGGGAGGCAGGGCGACCCTTAGCGACAATGTCCCACGTACATTCAGGATCAGTCGTAAAAGGACGCATGCAAGCAGCACCATGGTCAGTGTATCGCTCAACGTATCTATGACCCTGTGTGCCTGTTTCAGAATGGGTTACTACTCCTAAAACACATACTACATAGAACTTATGGTACATGCAACATTTGTTTTGTGTGGTACTGTGTCATTCTGAATCGAGCCTGGATCATTTTTGGAGGAGTTAAACCGTGCATGTAAAGCACTGTCAAAATAATGGTTGACTGTCTACAGATGCCCCTGGACACTGATGAGGACCACTCCTATAACAAGAGGCCTTACAGCTTCCTTCCTAAAGAGTCGGTTAGTGAATGGACACATTAAAGTGTACAACCCCTGATGCATGTGATTTTATAATATTACATATGACTTCTTTATACCATCTAGTCTTATCAGTAAGATGGAACTTTGTTCTCATGACCTCGCCAAGAACATGAGTGAGGAAGCGCACCAAAGGCTGAAGGACTTGTGAAAGATTCCGAGGAGTTTATTATTTATTCAATATTTTTTTAAGTTGACCAGCTCTGATTTTCCATTTGATGTTCTGTTCAATAAATGTTCATTGAGGAAAACGGTATCAGTGTCATATTTTATATACATCACAGTGAATGCTGAACTTGTCTGACCATATACTGCAGTTGAAAGTACACGATGAAACACTGGCTCAATCAATACAATTCCCACATGCTCTACCCCGGAACCTGCGGTCTTCAGACTCTGGCCCCCCGCACCAACCTGCGATCCTTCGGGGACAGAGCCTTCAGTATGGCAGCCCCCACTCTCTGGAACGCTCTCCCTGCGGAGATCTGCAACATCCCCACGCTTGATGCCTTCAAAAGGGCCCTCAAGTCCCATCTGTCTGCCAAGGCCTTTGGCCCCAAATCTATTTGTTGTTTTGTCTGACTGCCTTTTGTTATGTTTGTTTCTACTCCTGTTCTTCTTTTTAAAGGGACCTTGGGTCTCATGAAAGGTGCTATATATATCCCATTATTAATACATCATTGGTAAGCATTTTTACAATATTCTGGCTTTCACTGTTCAAATGAGATGTCAACCATCAAAATGGGATAAGGGGTTCCAAGGGGTTCTCAAACGGATAGGTTATTAATTTATTTGCCTAATAGTTGCTTAAAACGGATAGGTTATTAATTTAGTTGCTTAAAACGCCTAATAGTTGCTTAAAACGGATAGGTTATTAATTTATTTGCCTAATAGTTGCTTAAAACGCCTAATAGTTGCTTAAAACGGATAGGTTATTAATTTATTTGCCTAATAGTTGCTTAAAACGCCTAATAGTTGCTTAAAACTGATAGGTTATTAATTTATTTGCCTAATAGTGGCTTAAAATACCTAATAGTTGCTTAAAACGGATAGGTTATTAATTTAGTTGCTTAAAATGCTACAATAACATGCCATGTACGGTCTCCACCGTAGGCGGCGTAGTTGTCGTCAATTCGCTTTTCATCTGCCATGCCTCTCAGCCACCGTAGTGTCAGGTGGGCGTGTCGTGTACCATCGTGTACCGCCGTGTACTGGCCGCGGCCGCAGCTAGACCATATTGCATCGAGCCGGGGGTCAGGTTATTCGCCTCCAAGAAAAGGCGCTCGCGCGGGAACGTAGCAGGATGTGACGCATATTTGAGTTGACCTAATTAAAACCGTTTTGTTTTTTATTTATGTGTCACAGTATCACCTCAAAATACAAGATACGAAACATTTTCAACCATGCAACAAAATATAAATAGTCCTACAAATACTTTTATTTTCTTCTTATTTTTGTCTAAGCTCAAGGGAGCCAGAGCAGAGGGCTTAAAGGGCCGCATGCGGCCCGTGGGCCGCGGGTTGCCGACCCCTGCTCTAGACCGACAATTTTTTGGAGCTGGAAGTGAACCGGATTCCGGAGCTAAGAGCCGGCGCCGCTGCGGTGTGAACAGGAAAAACCGGCGCTTTTCAGGCTCCAGCTCCGAGCCGGAGCTGAAAAAGCGCTGGTGTGAAAGGGGAATTTGAGACTTTCTCGGCCCTTGTCCTTCGTGTCTCGGAATATCAGGCCTAAACTGGTATTGTCGAGTAGCGCCGCTATCTCACAATAGGCGTCAGCATAGAGCTTGTTGTCTTGAGCCCTCAGTGCCGCAGTCAGCTCTCCAGCGGGTGCTCGAAGAATGGTCTCCTTCAATCCCACTCTGTGCATGCAACACAGCATGCTCTCTTCCCAGAGCTCATACTCTTCTGCTTTCCCGTCAAACGTGGGCCACTTGCTCTTCCTCGTGGTTCTATTCGCCATGGCTTTTGTGTTTGTAGCCTCAGTAGCTTAGCTTAGGTCCTTGTTAGCTTAGCTTTAGCTTCCCTCGGTTCTCCCGATGCTAAACTAGCTTAACACGTGGCTAACTAGCTACTCCTATGCTAACCGTGCTAACAGGCAATCTTCTCGCCTTGTTATCGCACGTGCGCTTCAAACTGTAGAATAATTCATCGTATCTGGGCCCATAACCTGTTAGCAGATTTAGACTTATACCTTTTGTCTCCTGCAGCAGAAAGGTGAATAATGAGACTTGAGGACAGAGAGAGAAGGGGCGTGACTTCCAACGGTCTTATACCCCAGGTAGTGACATCACAATCATGGTACAACGCTAACCAATGAACACAGTTAGTAGTCGCAGCTACTTACATAGACAATATGGCACACAGTAATACATGGATATTTATGTTACACCTCAACAGACCCGTTTCTGTTTTTTTTTTTTTTTTAAATAGAACTAAAAAACAAACGGTTTAAAGGTACCTTCGTCGTACACGGACGGACCATATATTTTTTAAATATAATGGTAATAAACAGTATGACCATTGCAAAAATATACTCAACATAATTCAACAAGGGGACACATTTAACAACATAGGTTTTTTATACAATTCATTTAAGTTTTTGTTTGTCTGGTCAGAACAATTCAAGATATCCCAAACTATGCATCATGTCCTCAGTATGGCTGAAACTCACAACAACACTGGATCCTGCATTTCCCATAGTGCAACTTTGATTAGATCCTTCCTGCTTGGTAAGCGCTTAAAACAGAATTGTGATCATAAATATTCTCTAGCACTTGACATAAACCGCAGAAGACATCTAAATGTTTTCACACTCTTTATCAATCAATCAATCAATGTTTATTTATATAGCCCAATATCACAAATGTTATATTTGTCTCAGTGGACTTCACAGTTTGTACAGAATATCAGTATGACAATACGACACCCTCTGTCCTTAGACCCTCACATCGTACAAGGAAAAACTTTCGGAGAAAACCCACAGTTCAAAGGGAAAAATGGGAGAAACCTCAGGGAGAGCAACAGAGGAGGGATCCCTCTCCCAGGACGGACAGACGTGCAATAGATGCCGTGTGTAAATTGAAAAGATAATACATTTACAACATAGGTAGTCCAAATGTTTGGAAATGCATGTGTGTATAATAGGAAGATTAATCCACGAGGATATCCATCCAGGACTTATGATCCAGGACCACAGCCACGACTCAAGATCCAGGGCTCGCGATCCAGGACAGAGGAGCGCAGGATCATCCATGACTCCGGATCCCGGCGTATATAGACACCAAAGAGAAAGACATTTGGGGAAGCTGGGTTAATCGGAACATGAGAGTACACAGGTATAGACAGAGAGATGGAAGAAGTAAGATGTCCCCCGACAAACTAAGCCTATAAAAAACTAGGGGCTGAATCTAATCAGCCCTAACTATAAGCTTTATCAAAAAGGAAGGTCTTAAGCGCACTCTTAAAAACGGATAGGGTGTCTGCCGCCCGAACACAAACTGGAAGCTGATTCCACAAATGTGGAGCTTGATAAGATATCTCTACTCTGTTTAAATGAAATTGGTTTAAAATTGGTAAAATGCCCCTTAACCAAAGTGAAGTGTTTAATTGAAATAACAACAAGTTATAGTTTAAAGGGAGGTTTGTGTGATTAATGTAAAACTAAATATATGATGAAGAGATTTCATCCAGCTCCATTTTATTTCTATTTAAATCTGCCTACAATAATAAACGATGCAGCTCACCATATCTTTTCTCCTTTAAGGCCAAACTGTACCATCTGTTTCCAGGGTTAGGAGGGTTCTTTTATAAACCTATTCTGTTACAATTATAGTTAGCTGCAAAAGAGAAATAATTACTCAGTAACGTAATCGGATTACTTTTACTTTTGGATGTCCTCAATATCAATTACAATGCAAATATAAAATAAATATCAATAAGATGTGTTTTACTTTAGTGTATTATGTAAGACAACAGAACAATGTGACCTTAGAATAAAATATGTATCCTATTCAATTATAGGCTAGGCCTAAAGAATAATATAGTTTACAAATGCTGCTTTAGTTTAACATTTAACACATTGCATTTACAAAAATAAAATGAAAGGTGCCTAAATGAAAAGGGTAATATATCATTCTTTATTATAAAATGCATTATAACATTATAATCCTGCTGGTAATCCCCATTTTGAAAAATGTCCCAGAAATAAGATAACATATTTTCATGTTACTGTAGTGTAAGGGAACACAAAAGTTTGAGATTGGAAGGACAAAACGTGAATTTATATTTCCTTACATATATTAAAACTTAGTTGCTTCCAACCTTGTTATCTTTTTTGTTCTATCTTGACTATGTAATCCCATTAGGCTACATGTTATCCGTTACTCCTCAAACCGGGTTATTTCACTCTCTTTGACAGAGCAGATTGTAGCAGTGTGTGCGTGCGCGCGCGTGTGTCTGTGTGCGTGTGTAGTGTCTCTCCGCCTCAGGACTGGACGGGCCGGTTCTCCTCCTCGGCTGCAGGCTCATAGCCCTGCTCTGTGTTTACTGTGGGATCAGCGGAGACAAACTGGTTGACAATGGAAACAGCTGGCTGGCTGACGGTCCTCTGCACTGGGGCGTAGCGCCTGGTGAAACACTTCCACAGATGCTTCCAAATAATGTACATGAGTTCTGCTAAATTCAGACAGATGCACAGAATGGAGGTGCAGCCCATGATGTAGAGGAAGATCTTCTTCTCCGTGGCTCTGCCGATGTAGCAGTCCTCCGTGTTGGGGCAGGGGCTCTCGCTACAGCGCAGGAGCATGGGCACCTCGAAGCCGTTGTACAGGAAGTAGAAAGCCAGCAGGAATCCCACCTCGAAGGTTATCTTGAAGACCAGGCTGAGGATGTAGGTTAAGAACAGGCCTCCATCTAGGCTCCCTTTGTTCTTGTAAAGCTTCTTCTTGTATTTGGCCTCGCGGTGCTCCCTGTAGGCCACGTGCAGCGCCACCAGCAGGGAGGGGGTGGACACCATGATGAGCTGCAGGGCCCAGAGGCGCACCTGTGAGATGGGGAAGAAGTGGTCGAAGCAGGCGTTCTCACAGCCGGGCTGCTGGGTGTTGCACACAAAGTCACTCTGCTCGTCCTTCCACACCTGCTCGGCCGCCGCCACGTACACCAGGATCCTGAAGAGGAAGACCACGGAGAGCCAGATGCGCCCGATCACCGTGGAGTACTTGTTCACCCCGCTGAGGACATTCTCCAGAAAGCCCCAGTTCATCTTCGCCTGAGTCTCCTGTCGGGGAGTCAACACACAACAGGAATTAAAGGATATTTGGGATCATTTCTGCTGTTTACAGAAATATACCATTTATTTTTGAACAAATTCACCACAATTAAATCCACTGAAAAAACAGAAACGTTTACTTTAATTAAATGTGTTATCTCAATAAATGTCACATAACTGTATTAGGTGAGTTGAAAGCAATAACATTACGTTTAAATAAAAAGTATTAGGTCACTGATTCTTGGGAATTTGGATAAAACAGGTTTTAATTTTGAAAATAAAAAGTTTGTTAAATTACAAAATCTGAAGTTATATCATTATAGACCAAGGTCTTGGCTGTTCAGCAATGTACCGGTGCAACCTCCTCATTTTGTATTTTTTTCATAAAATAGGTTTTTCCAGTCATTACTTTGTTTTTGTAAACACCGTCAGACACAATAAAAAGTGATTTATTTTTTATTTGTATTTAGTCTAATATGTATTTAGAGCTTTTAAATCATTATCTGGCATTCTAAGTACACATATATGCTGTAAAATTTTGAATATTCACTTTTGCTCATTTTTTATACTGTTTCACGTGTGCTCCTTTAAAAGATCTTACATCATACAATGTTTACTTTTAGCTTAAACAGACAAAGTAATGTTTTTTTACTTAAAAAACACATTTTTGTATTAAAAGAGACTATTACTTTAATAACTCAACAGCACTGAAGAAACAGATTACAAGCATATTCATTTAAAACAAATAAAACTCCCTCTGACGGTGGTGACTTTGGAACTGACGGTGGTGACACTAATCTGACGGTGGTGACACTGGCCTCATTACAACATACAATTCCAAAATGTATACCACTCAAGTCAATGCCTTGCTTAACAACTTTATTTAACAATTTGGTACAACAAATAACAATTGTGAGAACTGTGATAAACATTTAATTAAGGAACTTAAGGTACAATTAAGCAATATCATTAATAAAAGTAACCCACCCCCATATCATCAAATATCAAATCATCATAGTTAAAAAATAAAGTGATTACCAGTTGCAATAATGTACAATTCATTACTGACATCATCTTAAACTGTCATATAGTGCCCCCTACTCATAAAATAATACATTATATTGTTCTTTAAACTGTATATTGGACGTGAAGAACAGATAACAAATAACAATTGTGAACACTGTGGCAAACATTCAATAAGAAACATATAGGTTCAATGAAGCAATAAGCTATCATTAATAAAAGTACCCCATCCCCATTAATAATCATCATAGTAAAAGATACCAGTAGCAATAAGATAAGAATTCATCACTCACTGTGAACTGAGTGCCCCCCACTCAAAACATAATATACATTATATTCTTCTGTATATTGGACGTGAAGAACAGATAAATGAATAACTACATCTTAAAGTCTCTTTTCCATAAACTGAAATGTTTCTAAATACAGAAAGCATTCTGTGTAAACATCACAAAACACATCTGGCACAAAAATAATAATAATTCATAAGTGAACTCCTGTGAGTATTCCCTGACTGTTTCTACATCACTCCACCACTCATTCAGCTTTATCAGGACGTAGGCCTATATGGTGTATATGTTTCTCCTCTATGAAGTCCATGACTGCAGCATAGTATTAATTTCGTCAGCTATTTTTTAATTTTGTTTTAGTCTTAGTCCTCTGTTACATTTTCTTTTTAGTTTTAGTCATATTTAGTCCCCTTCATCCTGTTTTAATTTAGTCAAGCTTTAGTCGACTAAAAGTCTGAGCATTTTAGTCATATTTTAGTCAAAGAAAACTAATTATTTTAGTCTACTTTTTGTCAATGAAAACTGTTGAGTCTTTTTTAGTCATCAGATTATATAGAACATTTCAGTCAAACTAGTCTAGCCAAAACCAATAATGTCATTTTAGTATATATAAATAAATACGATTATATCTTGTCCTTATTTGATGAAAAACACAGGTTGAATGATTAAGAATGCAGCTTCGCAGAGTGTATCTGGTTTTTGGTGTTTTTGTGTTATGGCCACATTGCTTCCCTTCTGATGAAACAATGCATTCGCTTTTTTTCTCTGCCTCATTGTAGCGAAAATGGGCCCAAATATCACATTGTTTCTTTCTCCCAAGCAGTGGTGGGTTTAGACTTGTTCGTTGTCAGTCATTTTGACGGACAGGATCGTAACATTTCCGTCATAATCCATTATTATCCGTCGAGTGCACAATTTATCAATCACTCGCGCTGACGGGGGGGTATTCGCTTAACGCGAGTGCGACCACTGCTCCCATGCCCTGTTGTTGCCATTTCATTTTCTGTTGAATAAGGTTAGTTAGACCATGAGTTAGACCCGAGTCTTCCTGACAGTTCACAGTGTGCCGCTGCCCGGTGTAATTCAAATCTATCGCCGCGCTCAGCACAGACACACAGCTGCTGCCCAGCCGCAGCACGGATACACAGCTGCTGCCCAGCCGCAGCACCGGAAATGGAACTGCTGGGAGAAAAACTGCCTATCAGAGATGTAACGTTATCTTTGATAATATTTCGTCTCCTCATTTTTCGTCAACGAAAGTAAAGAGAGATTTTGGCATAGTTTTTATTTAGTAAACTACATTTTCGTCTCGTCACTTTTCGTCAACGATATTGCATGATGATTTTGTTGCAGTTATTATTTACTGCCGTCGGTGCCGTCTCGTCATCGTCTCGTTTTCGTCATGGAAAAAAAGGTCGTTGACGAAGATATTTCGTCATAGTTTTAGTCAACAAAATTAACACTACTTCAGCAGACAGGTTGTATATCTCCCTCGTCCTGCTTGCACGACCTGGTGATGACGGTTCCACAAGTTTGACCAGAATATGGTCAAATGGTATGAAGCACATATCCTTTCCACCTTCCACCTCTTTTGGATAGAATCGTGTGTTGGGCCCATGAGAGTGGAAAAACTCCACTTTCACATCTTGATGAGGTGCATCCACAGTGACAGCCTTTGCTAACCACCAGTTCTGGTCATAAATGACCGCCAGCCAATCTCCGCAATGAACTACATCAGCAGATAGATCTGTCATAGTCCCGTCAGGACCACTCCTAGTCATTGGCTGTTGCTCAAATTCAAGTGTGGAAATATATTGTTTTAACATATATTTGGTTAAATGTTGTCATGCCATTTTCATTTGGCTTTAGTCATTGGAGATGCATAGCCTACAAGGGATATTGTAGGTGTACTATGTGCTATGTAGGTAGGTAGTAGGTGCACTATGTGCATCCCCCATGACGTAAGCCAAATGAACATGGCATAATAGTGAATTTAGAAAGAGAGAAGGCACACCTCATCCCCTAGGATTGAGCGATAGGCCGATGGCATATATATATATGGTTCATCAATGGTGGTAGTAGCATGCAGTGTATTGTTATTGTGGTAAATAAATATACTTTAGCCTCCCTTGAGTAACATTTTGAGGTTTTTGTCACCACCGCCAGACAGTATGTCACCACCGTCAGACAGACAATCTGACGGTGGTGATGTCTGACGGTGGTGACAAAAACCTAATCTTTTACATGATATGCATGAGTTGTTCACATTAGCCATCTTGTTTCCCCTCTGTTGCTAGCTACCTCAGACCTCGTCTTAAAAAGTATACATTTATGTCATAATCTAATCTAATATGTTCTATACAAAAGAGACGGTGTTGACATGTTATGGTTGTGACAGAAGCAGTCAGATAAAAAATGTACAAGTTTTAGAGAAAATAGCAAATGTACAGGAGCTTGAGTGATCTTGAAGCATGCAGTAAAGCTGAAGGTTTGAAAAGGGGGTCCTAAGGAATGTAGCTGACCTTGTAGTTGCCTGATTTTATTGCTTTTTATAAATATCTGACGGTGGTGACGAATATGTGGGACGCATTTTGAGCAACCACAAAATAATGGTAAATATTGTTCAAAATTCACTGTTTGTAGTTTTTAATACATATTACAATGTACTCTTTCATTTGGTAAGAATATTATTCTATTCAATTATTACTTTTTGTTTTTTTAATCAAGTTGAAATGATTATCTCCTATCCGAGGACAACTGATTTTGTAGGCAATGGGCCAGCATATAATCATTAAATTAATAAAAAATAAAACTAAAACTATGAAAGAACCATACATTTGTGCAGAAGACCCTCTGATTATAACCTTGATTCTTTTTATTCATGAAAATGTTATTCATTTCCAACAGAATTAGCACTTTTCTTAGTGGGACATGTTTTTGGCAAAGTTTCAAGAATCAGTGAGGTTCAACTTAATATTATTGCTTTTAACTAATCTAATTCAGTTAAATGAAATCTGTTGACATAATACATTTCATTAAAGTCAACGTTTCAGCTTGTCAGTGATATAAAAACAACAGAAAATAATTATCAATGAGATGTTTTTTATCTCAGTGTAATATGCAAGAGAACAGAACAATGTAACCAAGATATTTAGTATCAAATGTGTCTCTCCTCTCAGATAATTCAGTGATAGGAAAAGCTGCCTTTCACAGAACAGAACAAATGAAGCAAAGAAAGTGAAAACCATAAAGCAGATTCAGGCAGTAGGCGTATTCACGTATTAGCCTACAGAACAGTACAGCTCACAGAGAAGAGATAACATCTGATCCTTTACAACAAGGACGTTTTTTAGTAACATTGTAATCCTGTAGTAATCCCCCATGTTTTAGGAATGTAAGGGAATACAGTTTCCTTTTTTGGGGTATTCTGATTACAAATCCGATTACATGTCATCTGATACTCCCCAAGTCTGCACATAAGCCTACAAACACACACTTATCTATTATATCAGAGTATTCTGTGACTCATGGTACGACAACATTTGCTTCTATTCAAATAATCCCAAACCAACAGAAGTCCCGCCCTGATGATTGTTGTCTGTCACACCATTCAGACATGGTTCTGCTCAGGGAAGGTCTGTGACCCATAAGATTATGCGAGATGACAAAGAATATCATACTATCAAAAATCCTGTCCTGATGGCTGTTAACACATTGTAGAAATGTTTTCAGTGGCCCTGGAGCTGATATAAGGTCCCATCTGATCTGAGGTTCAGTACACCATTTCGTGACGGTGTCAAGTCCACGTGAGATAAATTCAATCAACATTCAAAAATGTATTTTCATATGCACAGTAGCTACAGTGTATTCTGAAATGACAATCTTTAAGTCCCAAGCTCTTCCAATGCAACATAATATATATGAGACATAAAACAATAAGACACATTTAAAAAGAAGAACCAGAGAAGAATACAATAGTGCAGATGATGTTGTTGACCAATGCGCGAGTAATGCAGATGAACTTAACTATATACATGTCAGAAAATAAATGAATCAAGCAATAAGCTAAATGTTGCAGATAATGTCGTAAGTGACCAAGTAAATGTACATTGAACAAGATGTAATGTAACATGTAATTATTGTACAGTGAAATACAATAAAATACACTTTATTGTAGTAATAAATATTAAGATCAATAAATAGTAAGATGCAAACAGAAGAATGCTTCAGGTTATGGCACTGAACAGAGCTCATGCTCATTGATATTATCAAAGGAATGATGTGGTTGTATCAAGACTTGTGATGTAATATAATATGTGATAGCTACGTTCTACCAATCAAAATGCAAAATGAAGGTCTATAGCCTACATGACCTTGAAGCATATCCAATATTTAACATGTTTACAGAGTTATGAAGGACGGAGCACATCCCTCCGTTTAGTTTATCAGTTTTAATTAGTTAATGCGTAAACAATGATATCTCATCTCACTACATGGTCAAATAATACTTTAAAAGATGTGTAGACTTTCATCAAAAGGAATAGAGAAGACTTACCTCTGGGTTTTCCTGTCTCTGTGTAGCAGCAGGTGTGTGTGTGTGTGTGTGTGTGTGTGTGTGTGTGTGTGTGTGTGTGTGTGTGTGTGTGTGTGTGTGTGTGTGTGTGTGTGTGTGTGTGTGTGTGTGTGTGTGTGGTGTGTGTGTGTGTGTGTGTGTGTGTGTGCGTGTGTGTGTGTGTCTGGAGGGCACAGCTCTGCGACACACCTTATCCACACCCAATAGCTACAGTGCTGGCGATATCAAACGCTACCTCTCTTTCTGTTTGGGTTTGAACTGACCTTTTATTGAGAATGACGATTCAAGCAGTCATGTGAGCGGCAGCCTCCTCCAGATCACCTGTTGAACATGAAGTGAAGTGTGTGTGTGTGTGTGTGTGTGTGTGTGTGTGTGTGTGTGTGTGTGTGTGTGTGTGTGTGTGTGTGTGTGTGTGTGTGTGTTGTGTGTACACAAACTGACAGCATCACCATGGTGCTGTCTAATGCAAATAATGTCTCGTTCAGGCTCCAGAGTGGAGAACACTCCATTGACCCATCCAGTAAATGTAGTTCCATCTAATACATCTATACAGAATGTGCACATTCATATGCGAGAGTAATGTTGTCTTTATTAGTTATTGACCAAATACTCATTCAACAAGTCTAAACAAAAGGAATGATGTCTGTCGTCGTATCGAAGGACAGGAGGGGTTCCTGATGATCCCAAGGACAGTGCTTCAAAGTTGACCATTGTTGTGGAGTTCTCTGTAAATAAAGATGATCAAAAGATAATATATTTGTCTTTGTGTTTTTTAGTGAGCAAGCCCTTTCTGCAGAAAGGATCAAAACAAGCTGCAAAACGTCTGTACAGCTAGGATGAGTGTATCCTTTCTTTTTACTCTCAGGCAGTTAGAAATCTGTTTCCTTTATACAAAAACGAGATGTAAAGAACATCAGGTCAAGAACAGAACACTTGGTAGTTTTAAATTGGACACAAACACAAACACACACACACTTGTTTTGTTTGCTGTTTCTCTCACCTGGACTGACGAGTGTAACTTTGGTAACCGTCGGCTCGTATTACACTGCTGATCATGAATATTACATGTCACCCCGGGTGTGTGTGTGTGTGCGCGTGCGTGTGTGTGTGTCTTCATCATGCCTGGGTCTATTATATGTCAGGTTACTCTTATTTAAACCTATAAGTATACTATGATTGTATGCTTGTTCATATCATGTTCTTTGTGTACCGTTACAACTAGGATACCCCACACGGGTATCCTAGTTGTAACGGTATATTTAAGAAAGTAAAAAATCTATAATGTGTCAATGAACAATAAGAATCAGTTGGGTGGTTGTAGTAGACTATTCCAACCACTGGGGTGTGCTGCTCCAATTTAAATACATTGCCTTGCAAAAGTATGCACCACTCTCGGCGTTCTTCTTATTTTATTAAAGGTCCCATGTCATGCTTTTCCGGTTACTACGGTTACTACCCGTCCCCTTGTTCTGCATGTCAACGGTCTGCAGTCACAAACCCTCAAAGTACACCCTGTACAACTCTAACACAGAAAAGACCTGTCTGTGCTGCCCCAGAACGCCTTGTTGGAGATTTTTCCATTGTTTTCTTCCTGAGTATAGTGACGTAACGGTCATAGTGACGTTTTACCAATCCGCGGAGCTCTTCACACACACACACACACACACACACACACACACACACACACACACACACACACACTCACTGAGCCTTATATTTTCTCAGCCGCGGATCCGGGGTTCTCCGCACAACTCAGGCTGAATTCCGCGGTGTCTCGCTGTCTCGCAGACCCCACGCAGCAACCAGGAAACGACACACAGTAATCCAGCTCACATTGTCCGCTCCTCGAGCCTCAAAGGGCGGAGCAGCGAGCTCCGCAACGTCCCGCCAACACGGCACCCAGACCCGCAGCATTCTCATCTGTTTGTCATTACTGGTGTCATTTTCTGGTTGCTAACAAACGCCATTGTAACACATAATCACTGATGTTCCGCTGTAACGGTGGACTCATCAGAACAGAGTGGGCTCATAAGGGGGGGGGGGGGGGGGGGGGGGGGTCGTCAGGAGCTCCAACAAGCCGTGTAGGACAGAGAGTTGTATGAGAAACCAATGTGAGTTTGGAACATTGAACAATGTACATTTATTCTAGTAGACCTCAACAATGGAATTATGATCAAGAAATGGCCATGACATGGGACCTTTAAATGAGAACCTGTGATTTAAATTGATTTATGTGGATGTTATGTCATGATCCCACACAAAATGGTCCAATTTGGTGAAGTAAAAAAAAGTAGTAGTAGTAGTAGTAAAAATATTATTTAAAAAAACTGGAAAGCAGTGTGTGCATATTCCATATTTCCATTTTTATATATTTATAATTCTGCAAATATTACGATTACATTTCCGTAATTTTTTGCATCTACTTTCTGGATATTGTACATCTGTTCATCTGTTATATAAAATAGCATTACTTAAATATGCAGAGACTAATTGAAATGTTTAAATATGTATTTCCCCCCCCCGATATAACATCAACCTATGTTTTGTAAAAGTTTATTAAATTAATCTGTAAAATGTTATCATATTGTGGATTTATTAAATTATGTATTTTCCTTTGTTATTTATGTGTGCGTTTGTTTTGAGGATATCATTCATTAGTACCTAAACATAGTATGGTATAACTGCTTTTTGTAATGAAATACACAATTGATTTGGGAGCAAGAAATCTTTTAATCGTTGTTGCCCAGGCTTGCCCAAATGAATGGAAACTTATCTCCCGATTATAACATTGTGTAACTTGCTGCTGTTAAATACGGTCAAACTATGTGCAATATGTGCTTTATGTGCAATATATACTTTATATACATATGCCATCTTTAATAACTGTAATATATATACCGGGCTGCTAAATCCTAAGAACTGCTACAGGATTTGATTTGTAGATTTGATTTGTTTTTGATCTGTATTTTTGAAAATGATGTAACTTTTTATCTTTGTTTTAGCATATTGTTTATTATATTATAACTTAGTACTTTTTTAGCATATTGTTTATTATATTATAACTTAGTACTTTTTAACGCATGTAAGATATTCAACACTAAGCTGTCTGTGGCTCTTTCCTGCTGTAACGCTGCACATGTCCCCTCTGTGGGACTAATAAAGGTATTCTGATTCTAATAACGGGACGAATTTGTCCAAAGGGGCACACAGCAATGTAGTGCCGACTTTCTTACACGCTGGAAGGCCAATCGGTTTTCTTTACTCCGAAATCCGCTCATTCTTGCTCTCGGTGTGACCAGAGCCATATAATAGAAGAGTTATGACATCTCCGTTCACTCCAATGGACCACTTTTTTACAGCAATGGCGGATCGTGGAGCCTCTCAATCGTTCCCCGGAAGTTAGCGCCAAGGCTAGCAGAGCTGTAGAGTTGCAGCATAATAGACCGTTCGTGACGGACTTTTAAAGGTAAGAAGAAGTTTAAAGATTTATATTGCGGATATTATCAGTACATCTGATTCAATTGAACATGTGTATTAAAGGATGTCAGTGGATTATCCCTAAATTAGTAGATTTAGGGAACGTTTACAGATAACAGATCAAGCTAGGATACCGAAGCAAGTTAGCAACACACGTTGAACAGCCTTTTAATTGTAAATTCCATTCTCTTAATGTCTATTTGGTCCAACGTTGTTGAATTAGAGAAGAGGGGCTTCTAAACGGGATTGTATGCGGGGGTGGAGGGAGTTAAATATTAGATAAATATAACTTTGGTGCGTGTAAGAGTGAGTGTTTTTAGCAGAGCCATATTGTGTCCTTGTGATTATGTTGATTATTACCTGCCTGTATAACGTTGCAGCTCAGCTGATTTTGGATTGATGGCAAAGGGAGAGGGACTTAAGTGAGTGTGAAAACACAAGGTAAGTTTAATACTACTGTTTTATATAAGTAAGCATACTAAACATGTATTATATCACTGTATTATATAAGTAATCTTGTTAGTAACCTACTGTATGGCAGGTGGAGGGGCAGTGATGTTACAGGTGGAGGAGCAAAACTGCAAGACTGCAAACTCACAAGACAGAGAAATCTAAGTTTCTTCTCCAGAGAAGAGGTTGATTTCACTTCAATTTTTTCATATTTTCTAAAGATGTGGAAATGGGACAAAAAAAAACTTGAGAGCTGTAACCAAGACAACTGTAACAACATGAGTAGACAGCCACCAAGGTTTTTCAAGTCCCTCTTTTACTCCATTTTGCCAACCCAAACATCCAGGTACATGACGGGACACCTTGCTTGTTTTTGTTGTTTGCGCTCCTCTGGCAGGTGGAGGGCAGTGATCCCTTCCCTTCTTCCCTCAATCTTTGAGACTAATGTAAGTAGAAGACATGGCACTGTAAATGTTCGAACATTTAACATATTATACCACTTAAAAATAAGAAATATTACTTTTGTTACTAAGAGTTCATACTTATTATACCTGTGTCACCTTTCACACTATCGCTGTGATCATGAGCTATGGGCTTTGTAGATACAGGTCCCGGGGTGAATCGTGGTGCAGGGGCCCTTCTCTTTTTGACCACAGGGTGTTGCACGAAGATGGTGGGTATAGCCTCTGCTCTCAGCCTAGTCTTGCCCTTTTTTGTCTTGACAAACTGGTCTGCATCAAAATGTGCCTGCGGAGTGACTTGAACAACAACTCAGTTTTGTCTGCCCACATACATATTCCATAGTGGTTGAATACACAGTATTAGGAAACACTTTATACTTACTGGACATGTTATACTCATTACATACTGTATATACAATATGACCAAGAATGTGAGACAACTTTATAGAAATTCATATCACATATGTTACTGATGCCATTTGTCATACTTTGTTAAACTCACAAATAATAAAGTTCCATAACTTCAGTTGGGAACAAAGACCACACCTTATCTCCCCAAGGCAATTTCCCATCCAATAGGTGTGCTATATAGGTGTGTATAACCCTTTCTCCTGTCTGTTTATCCCTCTTTCAGCACAATAACCAGAGGGGGATTCAATGGAGCCTGAATACCTGCACTGAGACCCTCACCCTGCACCCTGAGTCTCAACTCT